TTTATCCTTTTTTAAGTTATTCTGTTTCTCACTGTACAAGTTCTAAAATCTGCAATTTATTTTCAGTGAAATCCATGTTTAAAAAATATACAAAACAATATGATTTAATGAAATGTATAAAGGTCAGATAATATCTGTCGTAAAAACAGCTTCGAACCATTTTGTCGGATTTTTTTTTCTTGTTTCCACATCTTCGTTCACTGCTCCAAAACTTCAACTGAAGAAAAAGAAAATGTCTCACCAAAGAAATAATAAAGTAAAAATTGCAAAAAATAAAATACATGTAAATAGATAAAAGAAGAACAAAAGTATTGAATTATAAAGTACATATAAAGTAGGTAGAAAACAATAGTAATGAGGTGGTCTTTAACGAATAAAATATGATAAAAGGATGTTTATTTAAAGCAGAAATTATTAAAATTACTACCCATAAAATTGTGTGGCCTTATTTTAACTTCAGAATGCGGATTTCATCTTTGACATCTGCGTGGTTTTTCGGTATTGTGCACGTTTTTAGGCCGTATATTTTAAGTTAATTCACCAAAAACAAGTATATCTGGAAAATCAAAAATAAGTTTTCTAATGAGCTCTACATCCTGTCCCCTTTTCTTCGTTAAAGTCCAAAGTCCTAGCTCTAGAAGGAATAGATTAAAATCACCAAATGCATAATTCGTTGTTAGGTACATACAGGAAAAAGGTAATGATTGAGAAATGGAGTTCTCTTTAATTGAGGAGAGAAAAATGCTAGATAGACGATGGGTTACTTCGAGATTATTATCAAAATTAGCTCAATATATCAACACCTACAATGTGCATGAATATCCAAGTACTCAGTAAGTGGTATAGGAAAACAGAAACATTTTCATTTAACCTTCTTAGAATTGATCTTTTTTTTTCTTGGACAATTTTCTTTTCTTTTCCTAGCTTCACCTGAATCCTTGGAGCAGTGCACAAAGATGTAGAAACAAGAAAGAAAAAATCTGACGAAATGATTCGAAGCTATCTTTACGACAGCTATAATCTGACCCTTATACATTTCATTAAATCATATTGTTTCGTATATTTTCCGTATAAATTCATTGTATTGTCTGAACTTTAAAAGTTCCCGTTTTTTCTCCGAAATTTTCTCAGATATACATGAACGACTGCAAAATGCTAATTAGTGACTAATTTTTAGTACTAAGTTTTCTAATAACCTTATCATTTTAGTGTCACAGGTTGGGACTAAGTTTTATCAATTTTTAAATTATGATTTTTGTAAAAAAAAAATTAAATTAAAAAAAAAAACTTTTTACTTCTTCTTGGACACGCAGCAGACTATTTATGTGAGCTTCATTATAAGTGAACCCTCCATCGGAAAAAAGAACTCTTTTTTTCGATCTCATTCCTCAAAATAAAGTAAATTTCGTAAATTCCTATTTTCATCCAGGACATTTTGCAATATACTGACTAGAAATGATAATTATAAATATGGAATATTTGGGCTCTCTTTTAAAATTTTATTCCTGATCGTTTTTATCTCTAAAGACATCAAGATTCAGGGGAGGTTGCTGTTTTTAACAATAAAATCAATATACATGTATTCATTTTCTTTTTATGAACTGCCTTGGTTATGACAGTTTCAAACGGTTCCATTGTCTCATTTACACCAAATTAAACTGCATTAAAAGTGACTAAATTTGACTGATTAAATTTATCCCTCTTTAGGTTCAGTTTCACTACGCCATTCGAGTACATTTGTACCTAGCAATACTGTTTAAACCCAAAAACTTGTGTAAAGCTAGGAAAGCCTTTAGAAAATTTATAATACTAATCGATCCCATAAAATGAAATGAAAGGTACATTGTATATCCTTACACAAGTACATAAAAATGTATGATTTTTTGGTCAGTCCTATCGTCAGTAAAGCAACTTTGGATTCTTTATTTTTCAAACAAAACACTAAAAGTCAATATAAAACATATTTTATTTCAAGTCGCTTTTTACATCTAGAGACATCAAGAAACAGGGAAGGTCATGGTTAACGGTAAAAAAAAAACAATCAAAAAGAAAATAATAATTGAGAATTCAACATCTGGAATGTAGATTTAGACAAAACAAGGACAAGTAATGTTTGCTAACACGAAGGTCTTTGGATACATGTGTCCTAGTCTTATCCATGGAATTAGTATTGTATGAATAATTAAAAAAAAAGAATTAAAATTCTTGAAATACGGACTTCCTAAACAGTTCATGTAGTTTCAATTACAAGTATTAAAATCGACACTTCATATACATCACAGAAGTGGATTTTGATTACAATGGATATTGTCATCACCATATTAAAGTGGAATTTTATGGAACAGTCCTTGAAGGTCTAAGACAGGAGAACAACCATACATATGATGTACATATATTGCGTCATCGATTGGCATTATATAGTATCAAGGGGTACACTTTTTTCCAAACATTACTTTTTGATATCCCATTCAATATGTTCACTAAAAGACTGGTTGACAACCCCTTCCACTTTTGTAACAAAAAAGTTTAATTGGGTAAATGATTAAAAGATTGGTGGTTATGAAAGAGTTGGAACCTACAGCCCCCCCCCTTTCTTCAGAAATAGGAATTAAAAGTTTGGACCCTTTTTTTCTGGTAAATTGACACACACACACCCTCCCCCAACCCCACTGTAAAAAATGATACTATATGTTTGATCAAGACAGCATTTCATTGCAAGCATATTAGATGTACTAAAAATACCACATTTCTATTTATGAAACAATATACAATGATCTACAAGTAATACTGAAAATGTATATGTCTACTGGTGTACCAAGGTTTGATAAAACGGAAGAGGGAAATGCATATTTTGAAGAACTTGGCAGACATTTTTGTGTTTTTGTCAGAGAACAGATGAAGAACACATGAATTTTAGTCTTCAGTCCAGTGAGCATTTAAAAATAAATTCAATGCAACAATTTAAACAGAGTTGGTCTACAGTATATGATTTCCTCCTTCCTGCTTGCTTAACATTAAAACTAGTAAGAAAAAATCAAAAATAAATCTCAGCCTTCAGTTAGCTACAACCCACAACCTTTACTAGTAAATCAATGCTAAAACACCACAAATGAATGTCTTTATCACTCCGCAATGAAAAAGAATAAAATCACAAAGCACAATCATTAACATTATTCTGTATTCCTTATTACTGCAACTAAAATATGCAATATAAAGTAATGATGCTTAATAATTTTACAATAAAGTGTTTTATTTTCATTTCTATATTTTTTTTTGCAAATTAAAATATTCTTTATGCATACCAATTTCACTACATCTAATGCCCTGTTCACACGACAAGTTCAATTCGCAGTAAATTAATGAGAAGTAAACTAATGCCAATTAAAATAATGCGAATTAAATTGCATTCACATGACAGCTAATGCGAAGTAAACTAATGCGAATTAAAATTCTACTTCTAAGACCAGGCATCAGTAAGGCTATTACGACGTCATTTGCAAATCACGTCACCTTATGCAGGAGCGGATGCATTGACATAATGTTACAGTGTCTGTACACACATTTAGTGATTAACACACTTTTCCTTAGTTTTTTACTCAAAAATAGCGCAAATACTTCAAGCTGACCACGGACATATGGCATTAGACCTAATTCTGCCATTACGCATGCTTCAAAATTTAATTCGAATTAGCTTCGCTTAGCGTTCACATGGAGCTAATGCGAAGTAATTTAATGCGCAGTAAACTAATTCTAATTAAACTAATTCGCATTAAATTCTCCGTGTGAATGCTAAGCGAAGCTAATTCACAGTAACTTTACGTTTAATTCGAATTAAACTCTCCGTGTGAACAGGGCATAAGAGCACCTTTATTTTTCTCTTAAGAAAATGAATGGAACAAATCTGGAAAAAAATTAATATTATTTTTCTTCTGCAAATCAATTGCCACATGATACAGTATACATGTATTGCAAAACTAGTGAATTGCTGCGGCATGATGACCAAACAACCTTTTTTGACATTAAATACTTGTACATAACATTGTATACCCTTTCATGTATATGACAAGTTCACAACGCTGTAATGCAAAAAAATGTAAAACGTAGAAAAAAAAAACCCTTGTTAAAGAAACTTTACTAATGCATATACATTTATAGTTTTCAACAAGAAATGCTTATGAAAAGAAACAAAAAACAAAATAATGCACATAAGTTATGGTGAAGGTAACTCAGTAACTGGAATAAAGGTACATGTAAGGGGTGTTAAGAAAGTTCGTTCCATGATGAAATATTTTCATGAATTGCAAAGTAGTGCTCTACTAAAGCAATGGATTTTCAAGTCTGACAAAATTACAAGAGTGTTCTTTAGATTTATAGCAATTCATTTCTAACAGGAAATTATATGATTTTTCTTTCATATGAAAATATATATAACATCTTTAAAGCACCTGAATGATAGAAATGCTGGTCATTTTGAGTGAAAATAAAGGATAATTTACTTTTGTTTCTTCATAGCTTATCTTGCATCAGACAAGCTGATGAGTTTAGGTATAAGAATGATAGAATATCACTTTTCAAAAGAATAGGTTTGCCATTTTGAAATTTTTCACAGATTTGATAATTTTTGTATAGTATTTGAAAGGATGTTTTGACCTCTGTGCTTAACGTATGTCACAATTATGCATCACCCCTATTTTTTTCTGAACAGACATCATCTGTTTTAATACCTTCCCTCCCCTTATTGATTCAACAAAAGACCGCTTAAACCTTATCAGTAGCAAGAATGGACTCTGTAAACATGATGTATAACAAACTGTTAATATCTTCTCATCATATTTCATTTCAAAAATAAAAGAAAAATGTGGATCGAACTTTCTTAACACCCTTTATATACATTTAATTGCAATGCCCTATTACTTGTATTTCTAATTTTTATAAGGGAATTTTTTCTACAAATATTTTTTCAAACTTTCTGTTGAAATTTTAAATCAATTTATCTGATATGTCACAATATTTACTTCTGTAGTCAATTTTTTATCATCTGTAAAATGATTAGGAATGGTAAACAAATAAAGATGCATTGCATCATAAACATTTATTTATAACTTAACAAACTCACAACTTTTAAAAATAAATCTCAAAATAACTAACAATACAAATTGCATTAAAAAAGTATACTTAAGCTTTCTAATAAATTATAAATATATCAAAAAGCAAAGTCATATTTGTAAATAGGAACTTCCAGCAAAATATACATATTAGTACCAATCTGTGAAAGGCACAATTCACAACAAGCATTTTCTGTCTTCAGTTAAATGCATGACTCGATAAAAAAAATACAAGCATGCTTATTATATCTCATATTGCACCACTGAGATCAATAACAAAACAACTAAATTTTTCCAGTCTAAACAAAAACCATAATGGATGGTTGTAGCTGTATTAAAACTACATTAAGCAACACCAAAGTAAATTTCAATAAACATTTAAAACACGAGCAACCATTTTTTATGTTATAGCAGAATGCTATAAATAGGTTTTCCTCTTGACATAGAGGGTTGGGTTTGCTGATTATGATTTATACTACCCTCATTTTCATTGACAGCACTCTCTGGTGTTGATGAAGATCCAAATGGCAGGCTGCATTCCACTTGAGACTGGGTCCTCACTTCCCTTGCTGCATTGTTATTTTGACTAGAAACTGGTTTGGAATCACGGATATATGGCATGGATTGACCTTTTAAGTGATCCTTTAAGACACTTGGATTTGCTTCAGCTTTCTCAGAAGGTAAACTTGATTTACTGTTTTTGTTTACTTCAGTTTCTAGATTTTTGAAATTGCACGGCTTTAAACCCACTTCACTTAAACTGATTTCATCAGAATGACTGTTTTTATCACTAGACTGTATTCCAAGAAATTTCTTCAGATCCTCATCAGAATCTTCCTGATAAGGTTGATCTGAGCCATGTTGTTCTCTTTGTTTTACATTTCTTTTTCCTGACCTGTCCATACCCTGGATGCTGTTACCATTAGTGAACTCTGACACTGATCTGGTAAGGTATGGCAAGAGTGATAATGGATGAGGATCCTTTCTCTTCACATCCAGTTTCTTCCTTTTCTTCTCTGTTGACTTTACATCATTTCTGTCTTCATAGAAACTATTGTCTTTTTCTAAATTCTCAGATAACAAACTTTCCTTTTCTTGGTCAATGGTGTTGGAAACCGGTGATAAACAAGGCAATGTTGTTGGAAGAGTTAATTGCTCAAAATTTTTCAGCTTTGGAGATGACTGAGCATATGGTTTTGTTTGGGAAAATGAAGAAAATGGGTCATGGGATGTTTTAATAGTAAGAGGAGTAAATGCATCTACATCATATTTTGGTTTCCTTGGTTCTGTTGCTTCCATTGATAAGTCACGTGGAACAGGCTGTGTTCCTGAAGCATCATTAAAAGGAGGCTGTGAACTTGTTTTTTTCCTTCTAAGAACAACTTGACTCAAGTCAATTTTCAATGGTTGTACTGGTTTTCTTTCATCAGGTTTTGCTAATTCTTGACTCTCATTCAATGGAGATTGTAAAGAACTCATTTCCACAGTAAATATTCTTGGTGGTTTTGGAGGGGCAAATCCAGCAGGCAAAGAAACAGTTGAGGCTTTAGAGAGTCGTCGGGGATCAATTTCTCCTGGGAAAAATGGTTTTGGATAACAGAAATCATTACTTTTAGATTCAGAAACTTCACCAGGTTTTCTTGTACTTTTTAGAGAATTTTCTCTTTGCAGAGCTCTTTCCACACTGTACTTAGAGTCACCATTTTGCTTTGGTTTCATTTGCTCAATAATTTTATCTCCTTCCCGTGAAATTTCACAGTAAGATACCCCTTGAGGATCCTGCTCTGTAAAGAAATAATCCTGCATGAATTTTTCTCTAAGCGGATCAAGCAAATGGGTTTGGGATAATGGCAAAGTTCCCAGTGTATAACTTCTCTCCCTTTGCTTTGGGGTTTGTGGCTCATCAAAATAAGAAACAGGCCTTCTGCTTCCATTGTTTGACTGCTTTTCCTCAGATCTAAAAGTTGAAGATGAATGTAAGTCAGAATTAAAAGACAGTGAATTGCTTTGTCTGTCAAAGTTATCCAGATCGTTGATTTCTTCCTCTGTGTTATTTCTCAGTGATGACACAGAAATGTGTGTCCCTTCTACATTAGGCATCACAGTTTCTTCGTAAGGGGGCAACTCATCATCATCTTCAATTGATACTGGATTATTGTGAGTATCCGTGATTGGGATGAAATTGGGAGAAGGCTCACAAGATCTTCTGCTTTCATTTATTACTACATCCTCCAATAAGTCAAATTCAGAAACAGATGCTCTTGGGACAATCAATATTTCTCGAGCAGGGTCATCAATAAAACTCGTATCACCAGATTCTAGAGCCAATTTATTCTGAACTTGTGTCAACAATCCTTGTGTTTCATGGTCATAGCGGGAGCCCTGTAACGGTAAGGGTGGTCGTTGTCTCCTTCTTGATGACCTTATGGAGTCATTAGCATTTGTAACTCCTCTGTGGCCACGAACTGATGAATTTCTACTGTTATTTCTACTAAAATTTTGTGCTTCCACTATATTAGCTCCTGCTACAGGCATATTTCCAAATCTTCGTCCTCTTACTTTGGGTTCAGAATCAGTAAAAGTTTGATGATGGGTTGTTGGAGTTTGATTTGGATTGGATACATGATGTTCTCGTGGATTACTCTTTTGTCTTTTGTTCTTTCCTTTTTTTCTCCCTGAACCAGAAACTAAAGGAGCTTGACTGGAGGAACTTGCTCTTTCATTTCCACGCTGGAAAGGGCTAGATCCATATAGCAGATTTTTCTGATTAGCTTTTTCTCGCTTCCGACCAATACACATGTGCCTGGTACAAATAACAGCTAAAATCAGTGCAAGAATGAATTGCAATCCAGCTGTTCCCAATAGAATGGCATGAATCAATTTAGTCATTCCTCCATTACTATCTTTAAACAAATCCACATTGGAATAAAATCCACTACTGAAATCCAGACCAGCTGCTGACATTACACCTTGACCTGCAGACACCAAACAACAAAAGAATGCCACAATTGTGAAAGACATAACGGCATGCACTCCTTTGCTGTATGCTGCTCCTGCTCCATAAAGTCCCGTTACAACAGCCATGCCTCCACCCCATGCACCCGCAGCAATGTAACTGCCCCATATTACTTCAATGAATCCAAACACAGAGGCTGCAACGCTACATACCCCAACAAAAATCAACACAATTGAAATCCCTGTTATGGGGTATTGGGGTAGGTTGAATAGGAGATGAACCCTCAGGGACATGATAATTTGGTTAGATCATTCCTTCTTATTGTTGTTTCCAAAGTTCTGATTCCAGATAGTTTTATTGAACATGATTGTGTGGCTTCTATTTGGTTTTCTGTCATTATCCTATGTCACCCTTTTTTGTTGAGGCATTCCGAAACTACAGTTGTGCTGCATTTAGGTCTAGAGAATAAAACAAGCCTCTGATTAGGAAATGACTTATTCTACAACATACCGAATATATAATTCTGACTATAAATTCTAGAAATAAATAAAGAAAGTATGTTTAACTCACCTGTCCTGAGGTAAACATTTTCTGTATAATTAATTTTGAATTTTGATCCCGATAGAAATTCTTTGTTCCTAAAATTTACGATGAAGAGTGGCCCTTGCGCTTGAATGACCAATTTCTGTTCAAAATGAGAATTTTAAATTTTTCAACATGCGAAGAAAACATTTATTTACAATATAACGTTAAGCCTAAATTATTGGTTGATCCCGATGGGAAAAAGTTACCGGAAGTCGTTTTAGCGGTAGACAGACTACTCGGCCCAACGACACCTCGGCCCGTGCTGGTTGACACCTCGGCCCTGACAGGTCGGCTCAAAATCATTGACACCTCGGCCCATACCGAAGACTGCTCGGCCCATTAGGAATGAATTAAATTTAATTTGTTTTAATTATTGTTATTATTATTTTTTTTGTATTTTCCCTGTCATGGTAATGTAAATGTATACTATGTATTTTTAATCACTATACGTTTACTATGAATATACGATAATTTCAGTATTTTCTAACAAACCACAGCACAACATCAAATTACAATCCGTTGATTGGGAGGTAACAGGTCTATTTATTTATTGACTTTGTTGTTTATTACAAGGCAACATAATACATTATTAATATATTTACTAGCCATTTCAAAGAAAAAATGCGCATATTTTAATGTTTAATTTTAAAAACTCATTTTTTTTTTCAAATCAATTCAATAATATCAACAATGGTTTCTTAATTAAAGGAACTTTTATTAACATTAACTCCCAATTATGGCTTCTCCTAATTAACTCAGGCCTCATAGTGACCACCCCCTATGACACGCGCTCGAGACTAAAGGATGCACTGCGTCTTGTTTGTTTAATGATTAGCACTTATAATCAAGTTACTAATGGATCGTCTTTCTTTAATTACCGTCAATTTACCGTCTTGGAAGATTGCAAATGTATCAAATTAATTTTCTATTGCATTTCATAGATATATAACAACATAAATAATAAATATATTTAATTAAAATAATGTATTTCTGTTTGGACCGAGGTGTCTTTTATGTGAGCTGAGGTGTCTTCAAATTTGGGCCGAGCCGTCGGAGCCGAGATGTCAATGGGCCGAGGAGTCGTTGGGCCGTGTCGTTGGGCCGAGCAGTCTGACATTCGTTTTAGCATGGCTCTCACAGATCCAAACGACGTCTGCAAAATTGCTTACGATGGGAATTTGCCGCTGCTACAACTCAAAATAAGGGAAAACAGAGATCTTGCTACAAAGAAAGATGAAGTATGATGTTTGAATGTATCAAATTCTAGTTTTTCTTACGATGCCATTAGGGGACGACCATTTGATTCTGAGGGGGGGGGGGGGCCTGGCAGATTTTGGAAATAAATAATCTGTCCCTGAAAATATTGAAAATAAATAATCTTTCCTCCACTACAGAGAAAATAAATAATCTGACCTTGACTTATGATATTTAAATATTGTGAAAAATACCCTTTTTATTTACGTGTAATTTATCTCAAAAGTCTTCAATTCCAAAATTTTTTTTGGCTCGCTTCGCTCGCCATTTTAGAACCGAATAGTATTTAAAATCAGATTACCAGACTGGATACTTATGTCAGTTTATCAACATGACAATGTGCACTTAGAAGGTGTGATGAATAACAGTACTTTAAATACAAGCCAATTCTTACACCACAAAAGATAAATTTTCTTGTCGAAGAATTACACTTCCCCGATAAATTAATACAAAATATACACTGGTGGATTTAAGTGGGACGTACATGCGTACAACCCCTCCCCTAAAATTTCAAAGTATGATACGAATAATAATAATAATGCCATACTTTGGGACAATACCAATATTTTTGTGCCTAGTTTTACTCTTAAAATACACAAAAACCCAAGAGCTTCAGGGGGCTTTGACCCCTGGGCCCTTTTCATTCAAAGTATGATATGACTAGTATTAATAATGTCATACTTTGGTACATATCTAACCAATTCCTACACAATTTTGTCTGGTTTTACTCTTTTACATACAGAAAAACCCAAGAGCTTCAGGGGGCGAAGCCCCCTGAATCCCCTTCATTCAAAGTATGGTATGACCAGTATTAATAATGTCATACTTTGGTTCATAATAACCAATACCACTATAATAGTGACTGGTTTTACTCTTAAAATCCAACCCAAGAGCTTCGGGGGGGGGGGGGGGGAGTGTTACTCCCTTGGCCTCCACCAGGGCTTCGCCCAGGACCTGGGGGCCTTACGGCGGCCCCA